GACCCAACAGTGGTCGTGCTGGATTCAACCGCACTCGAAATGAAGAAAAGGAAATCTCCAACAAGACTCGCAAGAACACTCTCAAGAATAGAGGCAATGCAGAGTATCCCGCACAGGTCTTGGCTAGGTACCAGGAAAAGGGACTCGGCGAGGAATCCGGCGAAGCAAGTCGTGATCCCGAAGAGCCAACTAAGGGAGCGAATGGCCGCAAGTGTGTTGGATGGAAGACTCCACTCGAAGCACACCAAGGTGAAGATGCTAAGAAATCCCGCATCGCCACCATGAAAGGCAAGAATATTGCAAAGGCAAGTGGCAGTGGCATCGTGAAGCCCACGCGAACCATGACTGCACAGAAACAACAGCGCACCGCCAAGGTTGCAGCAACTCTGGGGATGTCCCAGAATGGAACCCCAGCAAAACCAAGTAGAGTTACACGATCGTCGACTCGAGTTCGAACATGAGCAATTACATAATTACGATGAAAAGCAGGAAGAAATGAGGCGTTTGTTTGTTTGTTTGTTTTCCCGATTTCTGGATATCCTTATGGTTCGTTTCCTTGGGGTTTTGCATATTCTTTATTGCTTTCCTTGGTTGTGCCTCTGCATATTCTTTATTGCTTTGCTTTGCTTCTGCTTCTGCATATTCTTTATTCCTTTTCCTCACTTGTGGTTCTGCATATTCTTATGCTTCCTCGTCTTACTTGGACCTTTGTTCATTGTTATCGTTTATTGAGCCGGGATGACAGCATTTTGCCTCTTAGAGATATATTTTATGATTGCATACAGGCATTGCGACGGCGTTGAGTTGGATGGCATGAAAAAAAATTGGAGCATTTTTTATGGTGTTGTCGTGGCAGGGAAAGATACCATTATTAGTTTTGTTGTTGTTTGGAAAGCATGGCGAAAGGCGAACACTCGTTTTCTTGAATATCAATACTTGGATAGATAGAACAAACAAACAAGGCAATTGCCCTCTGTAAATGGAGTCTCTCATGGCAAGTGACATGCTTGTGATCCATCCATCTCATCTATATTGGCATCCGTCAGCTCGCGAGATTCCGCCCGCGCCGGCCGAAGGGGTTTCTGGCTCCGCGGCTGCCAACGCATTCGGTGTCCGCAACATTCGACGGGTAGTATGCAAAGATCTCAAGGCGGTATCTATCCGAAGCACGTAGCCAAAAACTTTGGAGAAATCAACCGTCATACCAAAAATGGCGTGGCCAGAGGCCACTCTCATGCACCGGCATTACCCCCTTCTCCTCGTATATCGTGTGATATCAGCGCAATCGTACACAAAGCATCTCCCCGTACCTGCACGTTTTGCCTAGTAAAGCGCAGCCTGCTGCGAACAGTGTAATCTTGGCGGTTGCACAATCATGGGACCCCTCGTCTTGTCCCACGTGAAAGAAGACTGATCACCTGAGTCATGATGCTACGGACTGTGTGCTCGACGTATATATATTTAGGCGCGGAAATGACATTATATGGCGGAGCCAGTCTGAGCCAAGTCAAACAAATTGTATCTTCAAGATGGAGAAATCACAAACAATGGTGAATGAGCCGAAAACGGTTCAGCTCAGACTGGCATCTGGACAAGAGCCCGTTACACGAACTATTCTTCAAACTCCACCTCGAGACGCGCTGCCATCGGAAATACCCGTGATTGACATTTCCCGCGCCTTCAGCCCTTCCATCGACGACCGCCGTGCTGTGGCTAGGGAAATCGGAGATGCCGCTGAAAACATTGGCTTCTTCTACATTTCCAACCATGGTGTGCCCGATGCCGTCATCGCCGGTGCCTATGAAACGGCACTTGCTTTCTTCCGCCAGGACCTGGAGACAAAGCTGAGGGCAAAGATCGCACCGAGCCAGGGCAAGATATCGGGCTATCGCCCCTTTGCCTCTCAACGGATAAACCCCGATGAAGGGGCCGACCACAGAGAAACCTTCTCCTGGGCGTACGATGCTACGTACGACCCGGAGATGGGCGACATCAACGCGGTCCCGGAACATGCGCGCAAGTACATCAAGGCGGACGAGTCTCCCTGGGAGGCGACGTCGCAAATGCCCGAGCTCAAAGCCGCACTCGTCGCCTACTTCCAATCTTGCCTGGGGCTGGCAAGAGCCCTCACGCGCTCGTTTGCTCTCTCGCTGGATCTTCCGGAAGACCATCTGGACTCCAAGGTCAAGTATCCTGACGTGATGATGCTCCTGAACTACTACCCAAAGAAGGAGCCGCAGCCACCTGCAGGTGCACGGAGACAAGTGTCGATGGGATCCCACACCGACTTCAGACTGTTTACTATCCTGTGGCAAGATTCCACAGGTGGGCTGCAGATTCTCAACCGGGACGGGCAGTGGATCAACGGCCTGCCTGTTCCTGGTACGTTTGTCGTGAATATTGGAGACTTTCTGCAGAGGATCACCAACGATCGGTACGTGAGCACTGTGCACAGGGCGCGAAGTCCGAGTGGTGAAGAGAGGGTGAGCATTCCGTTCTTTTGGGGCTTCGGCCTCCACGAGCGGTGTGGTGTTTTGGAGAGCTGTGTCGGCGAGGGGGAAGGGCCGAAGTACGACGAGATTAGCACGCAGGAGTATGTCGCTAGTAGGTCGCGACAGTTGATGACCTGGGGAAATGAGGCGGATGGGGGGAAGAGTAGTTGATGGACGACTGTGATGGGGTGTCGCTGGGTTGATGCGAGGTGTAGACCTGCAAGATGCTGCGGATATGAGAACACTGCGTCGCGAATTGGTGCGGGGGGGTTGTGCACGCGACTTTGAACTTGAGTGCATCTTCTTTCCGAGATGGTTTATTCTGCTTGGTATCGGGGTGGGAATGCAAGACGCGCAGCATACATTCTTTTTGATGGTATTAATACTCCAACCCTTGTAGCGTCGTCCCAGAGCTTCGTGTCACTCGTACACATGGAGAATACAAAACGCCATCCTGTGCTCGTTACATGACTTCAAACTTTTCTTCCATGTCCACATCCTCTGTCGGCCGTGAGCTCGCCATTGTCGCCCATCCCTGGCGAACGGGGACTTGGGACGTCTTCTTGCTCTGCGCAGCTCCCACCGGCTGTACAGGCTTTGATACTGGTTCTGGTTTGACCTCTTCTTCTTCTTCTTCCTCTTCCTCTTCTCCCTCCTCTCCCTCCTCTACTCCTTCCTCATCGTCATCATACTCTTCTCCATCTCCGTCACCATCATCATCATCATCGCCATTCTCGTCACTAGAGTCTCCGGATCCTTCGCTGTCCCCTTCGCTACCAGGATCGTAGTCTTCCTCATCTTCGTCCTCGTCATCTTGTAACTGTTGTTCAGCCTCGAGTTGGGCTTTCTCTAGCTCGGTCCCACCTTCAGCATTGCCACCTTCAGCATCATCTGAGCCTTTCTTTGGGCCCCTGTTTTCAGCAAGTTGAAGCTTAGCCTTTCTTTGTTCTGCCATGCTTCGATCCTGCAGCCGGTTGCGCTTCACGTAATCGTCAATGCCTCCGTAATCCTGTTGATCCAACATGCCAAATTCCAGTTCCTCGTTTGGTTCACCCTCTCCCGAGAAAGTCTCCACCACCATGTTGAAGGTAATTTGCAGGATATTAGTGTAACTAATAGCAGCAATGCAGTCCAATGGAATGAAGATCAGGGGCTTCTTGAATCCCCACAGGATGCCGTTCTCAAGGAAGAAAAGATACCCGTCCTTTGAACCACGGAAGCCACTCACATGCACAGCCCTTTCATTCGGTCGGTGGGGCTGGCGAACAACGCTGTGAAATTTGTTGGGATCTGCTGAGATGATATCATGAGCGTTCCCAGCAGCTCGCAGCCTCCTGTCAAATGCCCAGTGGAAAAGTGACTTGTAAGTGTCCGATACCGCAGCAGCAGCTGACGCTTCGGTGCCGCCAATGGTGCCCTCTTTTGGCGCCGTAGCGGGAACTGTGAAGACTAACGGCTCGATGGTCGGTGGATTGGTCCTTGACGGGAGGCATGTTGCTCGGGGGAAGAGAACATAGTTGTGCTGTATTTGCGCCTTTTCTGGCACAGGCAAGTAGAAGAGGTATTCTATAAAAAGTCAGGGGTCTCGAAACTTGATCCCAGTAGTAACAACGCTGGCTTGCAAATGCCTACCGATATCCTTCCAAGCGTATGTTATGCCTGGAATAGGGACAGTTGTTCCAGGGGCCCTGGCGTATACAAAGTTTTGAGTAAGGCATATCTCGAATTTCTTTCTTTGGGGGACCGAAACGGATATCTCCTTAATATGCAATAGCACGGGCTCATCAGAAGCGTTTCCAGAGCTCACTTCTGCCTGTTGTGTACCATTTGCATTCATGGGAGTGTCGACTTTCCGCTTCTTCAGGGCGGGCTCGCCACCGTTGTGTAGTTGGTCGTAGACGTGGCCGGCGATTTCGTTGAAGAGAGCAATGCGTCCAGGCGAATCTAAGGCCGCGATCAGAACCTCCAATCATAACTCGGGCATTGCTCACGGAGCTTTGTGCTTACCGGCGGCTCGGTTGATCCCCTCGATAATATCTGGTCGCGACTGGAAGATCAGGCCAAGCCTCTGTGAATCAAGGGCTGTAGACATGGTAACGGGTTCCGTGCTTGCCAATTGACTTGTACAAGCGTGGCAAACGCGATGGAGAAAGCAATTAAGTGAGCTGGTTTGGGATTAAAGAAACAACATTGCAATCACGGCCATGGCCAGCGCGGCAACAGAAGAAAGCGACTGACGTCGGCGCGAAACCTGGATGATTACATAAGAATTTTTGGGTACATTTTTGCCCATGTTGGAGAGATGCAGAGCTCGATGGCCGACCCACGAAGTTGGGGCTGCCCCGCGGAGGGGTCCATTGACATTCCATGCGTCCTCAGACCTTCTTGAAGTCAATACGCCTCGCCAACCATCTACCGCCGCCATCAAACACCATAAGAGTGCTAGAGAATATCATACCGTCTTAGGGAAGGATTGATTTGGGAATAAGACAAGTCGTTTGCAGAGCCATGTCGGCCCCATTCCCCAATCTTTACACGCATAGAAAGGTGGCCGAAAGCGCAGCCAAAACTTGTGACGTTTGCTACAAGCCAAGCACTTCTGTTCTTATTACGCCAGACAAGAAGGTAGGTTCAGATAGGTTGCGTGTTGTATGTTTCTCGGATGGTGTTTAGACTTGGTTTAACACTGATAAAGGACTTTTTCTATGTCTGTCCGTCACATTTAAAGGACACCTACTTCTGCACCCCAAAGATTGACGAAGCCGCACTCAAGGCCAAGCGCGAGAAGGAAATAGCTGAGGAGACCGAGAAGCTAAAGAAGGAATACGAGGAACGTCAACGCAAAAAGAAAGAAAAGGAGTCAAAAGATAAAGACAAAAAAGACAACAAGGAAAAGGACAAGGACACTGATAAGAAGGATAGCAAAGACGAGGAAAAGGTGGCTGATCAGTCGGCTCAAAACGTGTGTACTTCATGGGCTTTTTGCGTTCATCATCTGACCTGTCGATAGTCCAAGGACGATGGATCCGGCATACCAAACGAAGAGCCTCGTGTCTTTGAACTCAAGAGGTTTGAACTCTGGTTGGCCTCTGTTTCATGTATCTATCGCGCTAACCATGTCAGTGCATTCTACCAACAACGGCTTCAAAGAAAACGACAGGTTGAAGCTGCAAAGAGAGATCGAGAGCGGGTCTCCCAACCTGGATACTTTCCATCTGTTCCATCTGCTCCCCCCGCCAAATAATATCATGTTGCATCGTTTGCACTCAGGAACACATGCCAGGGGATGACTTGACCATGCAGAAAGCAAGAGAGCTTGTGATGGGGCATTAGCAAGGTAGTAGTCGCTACAATTATCTTCACTCAGTCGGCTTGCATTCTCATGCCTTTCATCATCAAGGGTTGTGTAGGGGCCAAGCACCGCAGCATTTCATGAACTATCTGAATGACTGGATTGTGTTGCTTCGTATTTCGGACAAACATAGAATTTTAAGATACCCAAATTTGACTAATCGATTTAGTTCCACAGTCTTCTGACTCTTCTCTCATGGGCGCCAGGGCTCCTTTATCACTTCTCAGCGACGCTTCGGCAAACTTGTTCTTTTAGCAGCCTCAGACGGATATAAATTTCAAGGAAAGGCCGCATTCAGTTTTATATGCTAGATGATACTCAAACGTAGTGTCTTGTGAGCAGTTCATCTCAATCGATGGCCCCTGCGATGATAACGGCTATTCGCCTACGAGATTGGCGACCGTGCCCAAAGTCTTATTCGATGAAAGAATCTGATAATCAACAATGAGATGTGAACTTGCTTTTTACCGACCAAGCTTCATCAGATCGGATGGCGCTGATGCGAGAGATCCTGGAGCATCTAGGCGAATCGGTACTCAAAAGCTGACTCGTGGCGCCACATTGCGAATGCTCATCCGTTGCACTCTTCACCTTACAGCCCCCTAGACCTGAACTCCATGCGCAACTCAATGACGAGCTTCAGGCAAAAAGGACCCTCTAGATTACACTACCAAGGCCATGAGAAGGACACAGAAAAGTTGGTCGCGCTCACAAGGCAAAAGGCTACAGTCGCCTTGGCTTTACTCGGCCCAACTTTCTCTTCTTACGACACAAGCAGACCAATATCGTCTTACCCGACCGAGGCTTCCGGGAATCTAGCATCAGAAGGAATAAAGTAATTTTTCACCAATTGAAACAGTGAGTTTTGAAATCGCTATCCACAAACGATAGAGTACATCTTTTGATATTCCCTTCCCACCGAAATGTGGCGGAAAGCTGAGAGTACCCTGATATTTTTTGACGAGGACTTGAAAGTCTAAAGAGACACTAGCTGCCTTGCTTGACAAATGTTGACGGACAATTTTCAGCTTCAGCAAGCCACCCCCGAGGAGGATTCTGTCACAGCTTTCCCACCCCCTTGGGTCGCAATTGAAAACTGCGAGGTTAGGCAGCGTTTTCCTCGCAGCTTGCATTGAGACATTGCGCAAGTCCCCGAGGCCACCCGTGATGGATTTCGCTTCAAGACTTGAAGAGCTCGGCTTAACGCAAGGGGCAAGGCGTGGGATGATGCACTTTGGCATGCATGCTTTGTTCCGGTGGCCAAACAGATGCGATTCCTCCCCGTCATGAACCTGGGATTATTTGCGCACCAACAGACCGCAGCTTGCAAGGATTCTGCATTTTGATGGCAACAGAAGTCCCCCAAGTACGGCACCTGCTCTCGGACTGCTACTGTCGGCCGATTCAATTTCGAGCTGTTCCTGGGACATTGACGGGTGGAAGTACTAGCCCGAGTCACCGTAACTACAGATAAACCCCCCCAGAGGACCTTTAGACTTTGCGCAATCAACGGCTAAGCGTGTTGATTACCGCACAATTAGTCGCCTGTCAAGCCAAGTCAGAGAATGTATGCTCAATGAATAGATAACCCTCTATCTTGTTGTGAGTAGCCGATCAATAGGCAAGGCCAAAGAACCCTTACTCAATCCTAGATCAAGCCATGTGCTAGTTAAGGAGAATGTTGGCGCGGCCGTCCGATGCAACCCTACTATGGCGATTGTTGCCTTTTTAGCTTGACGCTCTGGCTGCAAGCTAAAGCCACGGCTATCACAAGCTACGGCCCACATGGCATCCTGCACAGCTGATGGCATGCGGCTTGCTCTATGGGTGCGTTTAGTTTTCTCAATCCATTCATGATGAAGTGTGATCCCAGCAGGTGGGGGCCTAAATTGTTCCCAGAGAGCGATCCGTGTTATCTGTGTCTGTAGATGACATCTTGTGGATAAAAGACGACAACAAGGAGAACCCTGCTACGAACAAGCAAAAAAGAGGGAGTATCTCGACCTCCATCAAAAGGTGCCACAAGCCCTGGCTCGTAGGCTCGAAGCGTGTCCAGCAATTGCTGATTTGACGGCTAATCAGGTTGGGGAGTTGCTCCGTCCCTGCCGTACGCAATTCAGCCGGGACAGCCCAGAAGCTCAACACATGCCTCTTTCGAGCTCTTGTTTTGCGACTGCCGTTTGGCTAGGTGCCCTGGCGAGGAAACGGCTTGCTCGATGGCTGGCTCCCGAGAAGTCTTGAAGCGCAACAAGAAGCATGGCTGATCGTCAGCTCCGTTATGCTGACAATGGGTTCCCATTCTCATTTACTGTGCTTGTGAAATAACTGAAGAACATGGGCGGGAATTAAAACCTTGATACTTGAATGCAAAGTGGTGGACTTTATTCATGATTCTATCTTCTCTGGCTCATATCCCATGTACATGGAGCCCGCGCGTACACATTATATTCAAGTGTGCGTTGCGGCTATGATGATCCTCCCAAGTTTGAATCACCATCAGTATTAGTCGGGGAGGCTTCGACCTCAGCTACTCAGACAGCCCACCCCGCAAAAGATTGTAGCTTCAAACCCCGTCCCACAGAAAAAGATGTATCGAGAAAAGAGTCCTTCAAGGCTCCAAGTAACACCATCACCAAGCTTACTCCAGGGCCTCGGCGAGACGTACCCTACGACGGGGGCTACATCTCCGACACTGGAGGATCAGCTGAAAGTCAAACTTGTCATGTAAGTCAAGTGAAGAAAAACGCATTTGTACTCGGGCAACTTTAGGCATGCGTTTGTCTGATGAAAGCCACCACGGACGGCTCCAACGGTTGACACGTGCTGCTTGCCGAGTCCCAAAGCTGCGGAGCGCTCGCGTCAAGCACGTTAATGGCCAGACCAACTTGGGCAATTTGAACAAAGACCCTGCTGCTATCGTTTCATGACGGAGACAATGCCACCCAAGAACAGAGCTCATTGACGGGGCTTGTTGCTCATGATGCCGGGCTACGTGGAACGGCAAACAGGTGCAGCCGGTGCTTGCATAACTGAGGACCATATTGGGCTTAAATCTGATGTTGCCGAGAATTGCCAAACGCTTCTTTTCAGAGTTCTACAAGGCGTGCCGAGCGAAACAGTGAAATGTTTGTAGGAATCCCTTGCCGTGCTCACCGCCTAGCGCATGTTCCGTCCCGTATAGACGGGCAAGGGGACACGTCGTTGTTGAAGGTAGACAAAGGTCAAGTCCGATATAAAACAAAAAGCTATCTACTCATACGCCCCTTTTACCTTTTTCTTTTCACAAACAGAGTAGTCCGCCTTACAAGCTTGGGCGCCTGCGTAGCGAGCATATGGACTGTTTCCCCAAGCAGGCGTGCAACTGAGCATCTGAGTTGACACAGGCAAAAGCGGCACTGAGAAAAGCATCCAAGTCAACGGGATATAAGAGGCCGGGCATCAAAGCCCGTGCCGTATAGCCGTGGGAACAACCCTCCCGACTATATTGGAGAGTCCCGTCCAAGCGTCACCCGCAACATGATGCTTCTGCATGTCCGGAGTGCCAACTTCAGGGCAAGTCAGGCAGTCTTGCTAGCACGTGCAGGCTCATGTGTGTCAAGTCCCAAGCAGGAGGCGAGGGCTTTTGCTCGAGAGGGGGGCGTGTGCTTGTTGTTGAAGCCGGAGGAACAGGTACTTGGAGCGCATGTACCGTCGACGATGGTGTCATGGGTAGCAACGCAGCCTGGAGATGCTGCGGGGCCCAACAGCCTGACCGGCATGAGAAGAATGCTGCTATTCAGTCTCCGGCGACGACAGAGGTGAGGTGGTGGTGAAGGAGGTGGGAGAAGGCTGAAGGAAATCCATGAAACACGACGGGCGGGGGACGCGCACATGAAGCAGCCCTTCACCCAACACCCTGCGTGCTCTGCGTCGCACGTTCGGGGAGTCACTCGCCATGACACTGCAGTGGCTGGCATAGGGAATGGCCAGCCCTTTGGCGGATGCTTACTCTGAGGATGGGACGAGGCTGGGCGCAGGCTCGACCAGCGTAGGAGTAGGGGCACAATTTGCTTACGGCAGTGGATCTCTGCTTCATGCATCATGACGCGCGCTTATGTTTGCGAGCAGAGACACGGCATCGTGACGCCTGAGATGAGATTCAACCTAACCGACCTAGACGCTTCCAGGATCCTGTGGCATGGGGCCAGCGTGGCTGTTGGGCCGGAATGACAACTTGCGCAATCATGATCCTCTTGACTCGGGAGGGGGGAAAGGCTGCACTTCTCGTTCGCCAATATGCAGTGAGATTTAAGGCTCTCCAAACCCTCTCTCTCCTCGGTTGAGCGTGATGGGATCTCGGGACCAACCGCGTGTCTGCTGACGGGCTGGTACGCCCCCAAACAAAGATTTCCGGAAGGCAGTGTCTTGCTCTCGCCAGCACCACTAGATCCGGATCCGGATCTCGGGCAATGGAATCTCACGACAATGATTCAATGTTGACGGGCGACGAGGCAGCGCGTGCTGCGGCAACGGCTGAAATGGAGAGGCATGGATGCGACTCGGCCGCTGTCAGCGTAGCTCCCTTGCTTCAGGACAGGCATAGCGTAAACCTCGTAGGGCAAATGGTACATGTAGTGATTCCATCGAGGAAACAAAACCCCTCCCGGCCGCTAGCCTTGTCACACTAATAACATAGGCATATTGAAAGGAGGGGACCGGGGGAGGGGGTGTCCAACATGGGCCTGGCCGCCTTGTGAACAAAGATAGTTCCGGTCGTCTAGTCATGCCGGATTTTCTGTAGTTGCATTGATGGACGGACGGAAGGGCCGCTGAGACGACAATGGCATGACTCGATCTAATAGCCTCGAGAATCACGCCAAGAAGACGTCATTTTTTTGCACTCGGGCGTCGGGGAATTATGCATCACGTACTCTCAACTTGGCCGGCTGTAAATTACGGAGTCGTCGGTGGCAAACAAGGACGTATTAAACGCCCTTGCAAGGTTTGGTTCTTGTGCTACCTGGCCTGAATCGGTTTGCCTGCCGCCAAGGACACGCTAGCATATATGTTGTTGTATCTGAGTCTGTATCCCGGGATATACATGTACGTATACAGGGTGCGTTTTGTTCGACTGATTTCTTTGTCTTGTCTTCTTTTTCTTTCTTCCCTTTATCGTAGTGTATGGATAAGCCCGGAAAAGGTATACTTGGGCCACGGCATCGGGCTGAACCTGACAACAACAAGAAACTCGGAATAGAGCGTGCCACATCCAATCCGCGAGAAAGCGCCTGCGCCGCAATAGATTGCTCGTCCTGTAACAGGGCGGATTGAAACGCCTAGCGTGGCATCCAGCCGAAGGAATACGGCCGAGACTCGCATTTGATGTCGCATGCGCCGTGCCGATCCGTGACATTTCAAGTGGGGCGGCTCGGTGCCGGCCAGCATGGCCTTTGACGGAACCTTTGACGGAACTCGCCTCCAGTTCGGGCGTTGCGCCGGGCCCCGGCATCGAAGCCGTCTTCGACTGACGCCTCTTGATTGCGCCTGGAACGTGGGCCGGATGGCGACGGCAGAGCCTGCTCAGGGATCCGATGAGAGTCTGAAATAGCATCCACACCCGCGCAGCCTTGCTCGCACATCAGGCGGGCGGCAATCGGCGAACATGACGTAAATGATTAGTAGAAACGTCTCTTTGCTTCCCTGAAAGCCTAATGGCGAGGCCGCAGCTCAAGTTAAATCCCGGCCATAACCACGTTTCATTATTATCCGTGCAAAGCATCAAGCTCTGCATACCCAGAAATTCGAGCCGCCTGTGTCTTGAGGGGAAAAAAAAATAGACTCACTTTACTCAAAATAGAAGTACACGCTCAGCTTCGCCCCGGCAGTGCCATGATAAGAGAACGGGGGTCCTATAGCTCCTTTACCTCAGCCCCAAAGCTATCCTTGAAGCCATACTAACATGTCGGAACAAGGGAAGAGCAAAAAGGCCGTGCGCACATATATACATTCTAATATTGACATGTATATATACAGGCAGCACGATTGGACAATTTAGCGAGTTATTATGGCAGCGCCGAATGCGGAACCTTGTGGCCCTAAAAGCCTTCATGTTCTTGGCACCACAGGACAAAGCTCGTCATCTCTCTGCCCGCGGTTTTGACAAGAGATGGAGCACATCGGTTAGATGGCGAAGAAAGAGACTTGCATGGTGGAGGCTATCCCGGAGCAGAAAATTTGACGCAAAGGGTGACCAGGGACCCAAAAGCTGAGTTGTCCTGTCATGATTTGGGGGATCTTGCTTTCCCACTGCATTTCGTCACTGTCAGGTCCCAAAACGTTGTGCCACCACGACATCGTCGTGTTAACCATTTGTGTCTTTCTTCCTCTTTGTGTTTGATCCCACTACGGCACATAGCCTATGTATATGCCGTGTGTCCCCCCTTTTATGTCGTTTTTTTTACAAGTTGCCGCCACCCCTCCCTGAGCCGGGAGGCATCCGAATGCCCATATTTTTCGCAAACTCGCTCAGCCCTGGGCCTTGTCCTTGGCCCACGGCCCCATGATTCCTTCTCATCTCCTCGTCAACCCTAGCTCTCTGCAGAGACAGCCCTGGGGTGACCCATCCGCCACAGGCACACCGGAGACCCTTCCAGTCGTAGCGTCCGACGGCAGCACCGCACCGTTCGTTCGGGCAGCTCAGTCGGCCGTTGAGCTCACCCTTTTCCAGCTCTCGTCGCATCCAGCTCAGTGGCTCGACAAAGTAGTGCGGGCATGGCTGCCGCGGATCAAAGGTCTTTGACGACCCAGAGGCGACGTGCTTGTTGATGAACGGCGCCGTGGCAAGTGTCCTTCTGCACTTTTTGCATCGTAGCGTCAGCTGGGTGTCTCCTCCTCCTCCCCCTCCGGCGGCAGCAGCAGCTCGAGCGGCCGTGGCCGAGGGCTCTTCGTCTTCGAATCGCAGTCGGCTGGGAGCCTGGCCGACAGCGACATGTTCCTCGACCTCACGCCTATACGCCCACCGCTGATAGAGAGGATGCGTCTCCACATCGTCCGGGCAGCCCATCTCCCACCAAAGCGCCAGCTGCTGCATGAAGCCGTTGTTGGGCTCTGCCATCGGTCGCGTTCGTCGGATTAACCCCAGTGCCAATTCGACTGCTTCCTCTGCTGTCTCCTTGCGTGACCTGCTCCTGCCTGCGCTCTGTTTCGAAGAATGGGCTGCTGAAGCGCCAGAGTTCTTCTTGCTGCTGACGTTGCCATACGCCGAGGCCGGTACGACGTTGGCATCGAACCGGTTCGGGTACCGCCAGAGCAAGTATGCGACCACAATCGACACGGAGCGAGACTTTCCCGCGGCGCAATGGACAAACACACCACCTGCTTGTGACACCGCACCCGTGCTTTCAGCCGTGGAATTGGGACTGGATATTTTCAGTCTCTCTAGTCCTTCGTCCACGATGCCACTCTCCCCGCTCCCATCTCGGACCGTGCCACCTTGACTCTCGGCATGATCTGAAGCTGAACTCGTATTCCTGTTTCTCGGCCCCCTCAAACCCTCGTCAATGAATTTGACCGCCTTTGGCAGTTCCGCAAGCAGATTTGACTCATCCACGTCGTCTATATCAATGAGTAAATGATGGAATTGCTTGCCATACTCGGACCACGGCTCGTCTTTGAAGTTTTTCAGGCTGTCTGGGCTGAACCCTACCACTGATAGAACGTGTGTTATACCTTTTTCCGTGAGGGTATCTGAGCGGCGAAGAGCCCAGATTCTGCAAACAGATGTCTGTTAGTGATTTGAGGTTATTTTCGTGTCGAATAGCAAAATATGGTGGTGGTGGCGTACACAGCGGACATGAGAAGTGTGAGTATACAGTACGTACCCGCCTACGTAGAGGTTATCCTGGCCTTCAATCCGACTGAGAGCCATTTCGGCGATGCTATTTTTCAGCTGGCGCAGTTCTTGGTCGTCAAGCTGATGGCCGAAATTATCCCATTGGCAGAGCGGCTCACGGTCGTTTGGAGGATCCAGCTCGTTGGTTTTTCTTGTCTTTTCAGACTGGCTGTTCAATACCAGAGAAATTTGCCAGGGGTTCGTGCTTTGATATGCCGGTTGATACAATGATCTGCGCCGTGATACAAGTCGAAATGTGCCCTGTTGAAATTTTCAGAAAAGTGACGGCGGGGGCGGCACAGTCGACTTGGCCCTCAAAGCAGCTCCGGTTCCTGGATGCCGTGGTCCCGAAAGCCAAGGCTGGAAAAGGGTCAACACGTCTCTCGTCTTGGACTCTCGATTATTCCCAGCACGTTGCCTACTCTCTGGGCCTGGGGCCAAATGAGATTATTCCACCAGATTTGTGCGGTTTACGTGCCGCCCAAACTCGGCCGCACCTGCCGCGCATCTGCAGACATACCTCGGCCAGGAGACAAGCCCGCACCGCCACAGATCACTACCTGCCGCCACATCTGCCGCCGTCGGTACCCAGCTTGCCAGCCTTACGGGGCGGCGTTTCATCTACGCCCCACGTGATGCCATCCCCTCGCTGCCACAGCAAGCCATCCCATTGTATCGTCATGCCATTCAACGTTTCGTCCAATCTCGCCACGCGTCTCCCCATACCCAGACACGAAAAGATGTACATACGATTACGACGGAGAAACCGCCGAGTCAGGCTATCTCTTTGCGACGCCGAACAACCGATAACCACACCCACACGTAGCTCTGCCGCTTCAACGGGCTTATTCCATATTGGAATTTTTCCTCCATTGTGTGTTCGAGCACACCCCGACTATTCTCCGCTCCTTTGGCGATTCCTTGTCGTGCTTTGAAAAAAAAAAAAACTAAGCGCCACATTATTAGTATCCCCATTTTATCTCCGGCCCTTCTCCCTTCAGCTGGATGAAAAAAACTCGACCCCAGCCGACGGCCATAGCGCAGCGGTCGACAACCTCTCCCATTGCGTCTGGTGGCATTGCCACCACCTCATTCTCCGTCCTCGAGTCCCACATAGACTCCATACATATTTATGCAGACAGGTCTTAGCAACGGCATCAAAGATCAAAAGCACGGCATGGTACAAAAGTGGTGCCCTCTCTGATTCATTGACAAAAAAAAAAAAAAAAAAACGTTGGTGGCCACAGGCGAGCTGGTGAGCTGGTGAATTACTACTGCGCAGCTCGCAAACCAAAGGGGCGTGTGCGCACCCCACACACGAATTGCCCTTTAGGTCGAATTGCAAGTGCGGTCTGGTACCATTGCACTATCGATTCTCATACCCCTCGTCCAAAGTTTAAAGATACTTGGACAGCTTCTGTTGACTGAATGATTTTGATTTTGCAGCGTGGCACGCAATTTTCCCGAGCACGTACCACACAGCAGCATATTCCATGTCCTCCATCTCACCCTAGTAAACACCGCGGCTGTGCTTCATTTGGGTCGCAAGGAGCCATCTAATGAATGCAACATCCAGAAATATACAGTGCCGCATGTAAAAATGAACAAGACGAGTCACGTCCCGGAGAAGGCAGTACCGTACTATCGAATGTTACCCATGTTTGTGTGCTATCGAAGCTTTGTTTGTTTGATTTCCTAGCCTCCATCATCATTCAAGGCATGAATCCAGAATCCAAGCCCTACCAAACCCAACTAGAGCCCTGCGCCATATGCCGCAAAGAGGGAAAAAGGCTAAGGACTAGGTAAATAAATCAAAGGGAAAAGAAAGATCTATAAACTACTTCGTTCCCTACAATTAAAAACAAACTGCGACGGAGTCTTCGGCCATATATTGACCAGGAAAAGAAAAACATCGCAACCTTATAGGGCAGGAAATGACTGTAAAGCATCGCCCTCATGCACACACCTACGTACACACACACACACACACACAGTCACCAGCGCGTACACATATCTTAATAAAAGCCATCACATATTGTGCTTCTGCCAGAGCGAACCCGGCAGCCCGTTTCGCACGCTTGGGTATAATGTAACATAGGGGGACAAAAACCCATCCAAGACACCACCAATTCATGCCAGACACGATCTTACTCGCTGGCCTGTTCCACACTCTAGGTGCGTCAGCAGCCGGTTGGCCCGGCGCCATGCGTAGACAAGGATCGCCGGCTTCAGCCTACCCAAAACTGCAAGCCACACACGCTCAGTTCGGTTGCAGAACGGGAAGAAAACTCAGGATGCAGCATACAGCAAGTGCCGGCAAACTCCCAAGGCGAATCTTATCCATTGCCACCAAGCCCAGGCCCAGGGTGTTGTTGATAATCAGAGCCTAGTCAAGCCACAGAGCAGCGTGAACAATAGCGGACGGGAATATCCGAACAAAACGTAAAAATTGGCGAAATGTAGTCGGTCAGACCGGCCGATTGTTAGGCCTCCTCCGTCAGTATAACCGCATCCATTTGCTTTTGCAGGCATGTCTTGTTTGAACCTGCCAATATTGTTCGAGGCGCTAACACACAATGATGGACAACCTGAAAAAAAGCTTCGTCTACTTTGAGTCGTCAGATGCTGAAACTGAACTGTCCTAATCTTGATCTCGCATTTTGTATTTCAGTCCGGATCGCAATCACCATTGCAGTCCAGTTGTCCCACCGGAACTCCGTAAATAAAAGATATATAAATCAAACAGATATCGTGGCGTCGTACTATGTCATGCATTGTGCAATATGGCGCAATACAGACGCATGATTCCCGCATTCAACCTTCGCTTTGATCGCGCAGATAGAGCCGTCCATTGTTGGGAATAGTCGTAAGAAGGAAAAAAATTGAGCAGCATGCCGGTCATCGCGGTGTAGGGTCTTCATCCATCATACATGCATTTTCAAGCATGTTTGTCCATTTACCGCTAGTTCCCGCATGACTATGTTTCAAGTGCTGCCGAAAATGGTCCGCTCTATAAAATTTCTTGGAGGAGTTGCACTCGCCAAATTTGTGAACATCTTGTAGGTGACGGATACGATCATCCCAGTCTTGGTCCGTGGCGTGTTTTGGGACAATTCCTCTGGACAAGGACCCATTGCCAGGTCCTCTACCTGAGCGAAAAAAATCTTCACCACAATAGCCGCAAGTATCGGCTTCTCCGGGACGGGTTGTCGAATCATGAAACGCACGATCATAGCCGGAAAGTGCTGAACACGACCACGAATGTCGGCGAACATGGAGCGAGTTCTGGTGTCGCTCAGCCTCATTTTTGTTCTTGAAACGATTGCCACAGAATGAACATTCATACTGTTTCTCAGCCTCATGAGCACTGTGTGTTCTGTCAGTATGGTAAGAAACTTAAGGGGGGATTGAATACAACGGAGCCAGGAGAACGAAAAAACTTCCCAGGATTCATGAAGCCCGGGGGGAAGACGTACCTGAGCTCTTCCGCCGTGTCAAACTTCTTCGGCTTTTTAGGGCAGCACTCGCACATAAGAACTGGCTGAACCTTAGACCCCGCAGGTTTTTGAATATCTGCTAGTTTTCTCGGGCTTGTTCCGGAGATGGTTCGTCCATGTGTATTACCTCTGCCAGAGACAGAGTTTCGAGGACTGTGGTTCAATGAAGCGGGTGTTGTGTACGGCGAATTGCAAGACGTAGGTGAGATACCACCGGGAGAGGCGGCACCAGGAGATCGGCGGCCGAACGACATTGCAGTGGTTACACTGGAGGGCGGTATGGACATAGTAGAGATGTAAGAATTGGAACGAGAGATAGCCGCAGAGGACATGGATGATAAAGACGAAGCCTGGGGCATGACAGTGAGCCGAGGCGTTGGAGAGCCACGGGAACCAAGTTCTCGTCGGCGAATATCGCTCGAGACTCCGTGGAGTAAAGAATCTCCTGCTGGAGGACTAGCTGCCCTTCGTTTGTGGCCTACGCTGGCATACGCTTCGTCTGGGTGAAGCCTCTTCGGTGATGTGGCCTCATCAATCTCCATATCTTCTACACCAGTAAAATCATAACTGCCTTGAGTCGAAGATGCGTCGTCGCTATTATTTCGCTGTGAACGACCTCTTGGTGATTGGTCATAATCTGATCCATCCTTGGCAAAACGATGGTCCCCCGGGAAATGCCGAAATGGACCAGATCGAGGAGAAACGGCAGAGAAAATGGGCGTATCCGTCATTCTAGCAGATGAATCTAGTAGTGATCTGGTGTGAATAGGCAGTTGGACAGGCATGCTCAGGGTCGGGGCTCGACGGTCGGGTTGTCGTCGTACTTGCTCACTCAAGGCTGAGGATGTTGCTGATCGAGGCGACCTGTCAAATGTGCGGATCGGATTCAATTTCTTCTTCATGCTATCGCCATGCAAATCAGCTGCGGTCTGAAAGTGAAACTTGCTGTGGTGCAAGAATTCGGTGGGTCGAGAATCCCGAGTACTGGTGATAAGGTTAGTGAGTGTCGACAATGCCACTGCAGCCGTTTATTTTTGCCAAGTCTTACTCATGACTTGCAGCAGCCACAAACCTTTCAGTTGCAGTGTAGCTTGCATAGCCCTCGTCGCCATTGGTGCTACTTCCAGTGCCTCTTCTCTTATAACTTGGTCTCTCGTCCATAAAGGACCCTGGGTGCATACTGCCGTACCCGCTGTGTGTAGATGAACTGAAGCGGTCGAGCGATTCCTTCTTCGAGTCTTCGGGATTAGCGGAACCCTCCAAAAATGGAAGATGGCGTGGTGGAGGTAGAGGAGGAGGGACGTCGTCTTTCGGATCGAGCCCAGGTATAGAAATTGCTGGGCTTCCGGAGAATTGCATATCGCGGTGCATGTTGTAACGTCCAGGGCCGGAGGACAGGATGCTCGGTAAACTGGGAGGAGGCTCCCGGTACTGTGGAGGGAAGGCCATTGCAGTTGATCAAGCCTTTCGTTTTACAGCCCCAGCCTTGGGTTATGTAGTACCGGATCGTACGGTTGACAGATAACGGTCGAGAGGCTGGCTGAAGACCGAAGGAGGCGGGCGAATGGGGTTCGGAGGGCAAAGTGATACGGCAAGCACTATCATTGATGAGTGAACACGCCCACCAGGGGCCGTTACGTGAGTCGTCTGTTTGCAGGATTCGAAGGCCAATTTATGACTCGGGTGGAAGATGAGGCTTCTGGGTGGCAATGGCGAGAGGGTGTTTGTTTGGTTCAAACGCAAGACCAGGGCAATTGTGGTAGCAGCGGGATCATCGATCCGTGTTGGAAGCGAAAACAAGAAAAAAGAAAGAAAAAACAGGAAAACCAGTGTAAAGGTATGGACAGGAGAAAGAAGAATGGAGAAAGCAAACAACTGAATAAACTTGACCGCAAAAACGAACAACCGGCGAGTGTTCAAGAGGACGCGAGTCCAAGGAAGAAGAAGGTGCGGGTATAAGGTATAAGTGAACAGCGAAGGGACCAGTTGACGGATAAGGTTCCCAAGGCTGGTACTCCGTAGTCGAGGGCTGTGGCTCGTTTTTGTTGCCTTCGGAGTGCGCAAGTGAGCAGGTGGAGGCTTTGCTATGGGACCCGTGTGGTGACGACGACCTGGTGAATGGGGCGTGCCAGCAGGGTGTACTAAAGGGAGTGCGCGTAGCAGTAGAGGGGACTAGGCGTGTGCAATGGAAAAGTGGGTGACGGGCAGGGCAAGTGCAGGGCCGGGCAGGGAAAGAGCGCTGGCGGGTAAGTGCCCAGTCCCACGGGACCTAGGTACCCAGGTACTTGCCCGAGTGGCCAAGTGTACCAGCATCCTGCCTCATACCTCGCAGAACTCACAGCACTCCCTCACCTCGTTCTCGAGCCGCCTCCTCCAGTGTCGAGCACCGATAAAGTATTCCGTACAACTAATACAACGTCCTAAATCGAGCAATCCACGCGTATTGAATAACATCCCCAGGTTCCTATGCCTAAAGTACTTGGTGCTAAGTATCTACATGCTGGTAGGTAAACAGCTCTAGACCTTCGTGCCTCTCGGGGCCAACGAGGGTCCAGCGTGTGCATGTGCCCGCAATACTCGACAAACATCGCCTCATTCGGCTCGCTGCCGTTGCCCATTGGCTTGGGTCTGCCAGTTGTTATGTATCATGCATTTGCTATTCTAGGCATCGTTTGCATTGATTGTTACCGTCGGTTTATCAGTACGACTCGACGATTGACAGCTACTAGCGGAATTAGCAGGGCATTCGGTCCCATGCCCTTAGATGTCTAGACCGCGCGTGTGGCAAGACGTATTGTCCAGGTGTTGTTGATGTAGTTCCTGGCAGTACTCCGGCACATATGGTTGATGGGGTCACAAGCGAGAGCGAGAAGGATCCGAAAGACCGAACAACGAGTTGCTTGCTGCAAGGCAGATGGCAGGCCGCTTATAGAGGCAGAACTGTCGGTGGTATCGAAAGGAGCAAAATGAGAGGAGGGGTTGAGGGGGCCGTGATTCGTGCTGCTCCCAACAAGACTGCACATATGGACGTTCATAGTTGAGATGCGTATGGGCCTGAGGGGGTCGAGAGAGCATCTAGGTGTGCCCATCTCTACATGCAGCTCTATCTTTAAATATCCATCCAAGCTAATCTTAGTTTCGAAGAGATGTGCAATAGTTTTGCAGTTGCTGGGACTCACCACGCACACATCCCTTCCGAACTCTTGGAAAGCGACATATCCGTTCTGGGCTGACTGTGACGCATGGTAGCACCAGTTTCTGTGGCCTGGTGTTTATTCGCTACCTCGCACCACGCGTTCTAAGCGACTGACTAGGGAACCCTTACTCCACATCCACACGTGAGGTTTGCGACGACTTTAGGCCATAACATCCATCATTACTCAGTTTCGTGATGTGCCACAGTAACGATGTGAGAGGACTGCGACTGCAATGGCGTAGTTAGCGGCGACCACCAGACGCTCAAAGGAACGCCAACGGGGCAGTTGGCCGCGTGTGGTCGTCAGCCAGGCGAGAAAGTTCCAGGGTCGAGGGTCAACTGTTTGGGTGGTGTCTATCCGGAGTATCTGGCAGCTTAACACCCCTACCTACCTAGGTAGGTTGGTACTTGCTAAGTAGGTACCCAGATAGGTGCTTGAACGGATCTCGGGCAAGCTGGTAAAAGGGTGCATGGTATCAAATATCTTGTTATTGTCCCCTCTCTGTGTAACTGCCAGCTCAATCGCGCCCTGGCGGTGGGTAAGATTCCAGGCTTGCCCTGTATTTGGACAAACCAAGAAGATATTGCATATCTAGGAATTGACCAAACGCTCTAAAAGCTCCTGTACGGTCCTAAAATGACCCAAATGCAGATTGATGCGACGGACGAAGAGGCGAAGTCCTCAAGAATTACCCAGATAGCCCGAACGCGCCACTGCCTCCGCTCCCGCAGACTATCATCCCTTCACCTGAGTCAGAGGGTCTGCTTCGAACTTGGAGAACAGGTCATGGAGTCTCGCTCAAAGGACAATAGCACATGTAGTGCCACCTCCGGTGAGTGCCAGAAATGGGCACCTGGGCACAGGGCGCTGGGGTTCCGCGCAGCCATCAAATGATTGATGACCATGCTGGCGCCAGGGGCCAAACCTTGGTGCCAGCCATGGGGCGAGGGCTGGCATTTTCTGGGCTGGGATCTTCTGGCTTGCCCGAAATACTATCTGGCTGGCTGAACCCCAGAACCCGTGCATGCAAAGACAAGGAAGCGAGTGACGGGAAGCTCCTCGGCAAAGTCTCAGGACATGGGCTTGCTTGATGGGTACCAGAACCCAAGCTTTGGAAAGCCAGACAGGACGGATGGGGGGGTGGCATCTGGATCATCTGGATGACAGTTCCCCGAGGGGGCGCATGTGAATGAGCTCCCTTGGTGCACATTCTAACTAGCCTGGTATATTAGATTCGGCGTACAGAGTGCAAGACAGCACTTGAAAGCACAGAGCATACCTGGATGACGGTAGTTGCTCCGTCCTGAACCTGGAGGCCAAGTTCCAAGCGCAGAGTACCCAGACCCAAGTTAAGTACGAACTTGAGACTGAAGCAGGACATCCGGAGTCCACAGCAGCTGGCCAGCCATCTACTAGTATCAGCTTGCGCATTTGGGCAACCGGCTCGACGTGCCTTGAACCTTGAAGGGCCGGCCAAAGGGTCAGGATCGTTCAACCGTTGTTACACTCGCCCGCAGGCTTTGGTCGACGTTTTGGTACATGTCAATTGGATTCGTTGCGGTGAGAGCATCCCAACGCTCCGACATGGAGCGTTCAAGTGGGCACCTGGTCCCAGGCATGCATAAGTACTTAAGTACTTAGTACTTTAAGTAATGAAGGAGCCGAGATAGGCACCTCTTTAGGCTACTTCAGTACCTACATGTAGAGGCAAAGCCCCAGCGAGGTACCTGCCTAGGCGCTGAGTACCTTAGGCCGCGTACATATTATACAAAGGCAGAAGTACCGTGTGCAGTACCAAGGATTCTTTACAATCTTTACAATTGCTCCAGTCAGGAACAGAATGCATGCTCTCATCCATTAACACAACAATCCACACAAGCCCTGGATCAACAAACACCTGCTTCCTTCTCAGCCCTGGTCTCCTGCACCTCACTCTACCCATACGCCATATTGCATAGTGCCATCAATTAACTGTTGCTTGCCCCGTCTGTCATTTTGGCTTTGTCAGTTTTGCTCCTGGGCCGTTGTGCTCGCTCTTACTCTTCCTGCATCTGGATGCTCAAAGACTGGGCTTGCTCCTCTGATGGACTCGGGGAGCCAACATTGACTGTCCTAACTGTGAGTTACGGAATAAGGATTGCCTGAGGAGTGGATGGGGCTGACAAGATGAGGACAACCGTTGATGATCATTGGCATCAATGGTTGCTTCTCCAGTCACCTTACTGGGGCCGCCATTGACGCCATTGGCCTTGTCCAGGCTTCACTGCGACGGATTACCTCACGAGATCCACCAAACTTTGGTTTCTCGAAGATCCACCAGGAATCTACCACCCGTACCAGCATTCGGCCGACCGACAACAGCGAGATTGGGGCTACCGCGACGGGCAGCCTTGATAATCTTCATCCTGTATTGCAAGCTGCGTTAAGCCATCAAGTACGCTTGACTAAATCTGAGGCGAGCGAGCCATGGACGCCTTATTTGGGCATCATTTGGCTGACCGACCTGCATGAGGCTCAAAGGCGGCCACTTGATGCCCACTCCATACATGGTTTGTGATACGCCATACGGCAGCATAGGCGCTTCATTCCGAGATCTTCTACACCATTACGAAAGTTCGTGACTTGCGACATGGGGGGCAGATCAAGCCTGAGCCTACCAAGGCTGAATCAAGATCCAACCAAGGCAGTTTCTGTTTCAGCTCGTGGACCTGAACAAGACTTGAGGAATCACACCGGGTGTACCAAGTTCCCCAAAACACCAATGGGCTCAACTCCCGCTTGAACGCATATTTCCAGGCTCATTTATGGTTCCCTACTATTCATGATACATTTGTTCTTTCAGTCTATGAGATGGCTTCCATTGCCTACCTGAAGTACCATCGAATGAATACGGTGTGCTCACATTTGAGTCTACTGGGACAGAGGCAAGGGCGAATTCCGCCCGCAAAGAAAAGAGGCAACGCATAATTGACACAGTCAGGCACCTGCATGTCCTGATGTACACTATTGGATAGTGAGATATGCTAGCTTAGACGGCGATGTGGCATCCATGTTGCCAGAAAACGTGTCTTGAGAAACTCTGTTCGACATTTGCTGCCTCACAAAGTGGTTGGCGGATGCTTGTGGCTGGCCACGTCCCCGTCATCCCGATAACGGCAATCATTGGGTCTGGGA